GGGTGTGTGTGTGTGTTGGGGGTGTGTGTTGGGGGTGTGGGGGTGTGTGGGGGGATGTGGTGCCCGCTCCGAGGGGCGCGCGGGAGCCCCCTCCTCGTGTCCCTCATTCCCTGTGTGTCCTCTCTCCCGCCCCCGCGCAGCCAGCACCTTCGCCATGATCCTGCAGCGGATCCTGCRCCTCTCGGCCGTGCTGCGCGCCGCCGCCGCCGCGCACCTGCGCAGGAACATCGGCCTCTCGGCCGTCGCCTTTAACAGGGCCAAGGAGCTYGATCCGGTGCAGAAGCTCTTCTTGGACAAGATCCGGGAGTACAACACGAAGAGCAAGTGAGTAGGCAGCGGTGCCCCAACGGGAGCGGACGCCCGTTTGCAGCTTTGCCCGGGCTGAGGAGGAATGCTGGTGGTGGCACGCAGCCAAATGTGTTGGTTGTGTAGCCTCGGCTCTGAGTGCCGGGAGCTTTGCTGCATCCTGCAGCAGTGGGAGAGTCTCTGTTAACTGCTGGGGTCGCCAAGGGAGAAGACACGAGTTCTTTAGAAAGGCACTTAGCTCTGAACTTGCCTTTCTCTGCTGTTCCTCCTACTGAGGTAAAGGGGAAAGAACAGTCTATTGAGCCTGTGCTCATTGAGCAGCTTCTCTGTGAGTGCCTGTGTAAAGCTGTATGAAAGTGTTTCCACTAAATATTCCAGCCTTTGAAAGTGGATGGAGGTTGTCACAGTTTGTCCTTTTCAGAGCGAGGTGATGCTCTGATGCTGCCCTCACTGGGGACTCCCTGGACAGAACGATACTAAAGCAGAACAGTGCAGGTTGGAAGCAAAACGTGGAGCCAGGAGGTGAATATAGTTCTTGCACCTTCAAAAGCTGCTCCGAGCACCCCCTGAAAGGCAGGCCGGTACTTGGCAATGTTTCTTTTCTTGGTGTATGTTCCTGTAATTATGTATCAAAGGAGAAGGTAGCTGTGGCAGTGTTGCAAACAGAAAAGGCAGGTCCTCTCCCTCTGGTTCAGAAGAAGGTGCCATGTTAACCAGTGCGTTGCCTGTTCTGAAACAGGTTTCTGGCTTATATGCCCTCATGCGCACACAAAAGAGCAAGTCTTACTCAAAGCAAGTTCAGTTCCATTCACGTGGAATTGTAAGCTCTTGTAGTGAACTATTTAGCAGAAAGCTGAGGTTATGGACATTCTGTGTACTGCTCAGGCTGTTGATGCTGAATGTGATATGTGAAATAGCTTAATCCCTGCCTTGGGAAGGATGGGAGCCACCTCTTAGCTATACTGGAAAAATCATGGATGTCCACAGCTTTGGAATAGCCTGCTCATTGGAACTGTGATTCCTGCCTCCTTGCCAGCCAAAATTGATAGCTGGGSTGGTGCTGCACAGTATGACTAATCTACAGAATTACTGTCTTATGTTTGTATTCTAGGAAATTCCTGTCTGAATGTATCTGAATGCGAAGTGCCATCTCCCTTTTGTTATTGTTTTGCTTGCTTGTTTGTTTAGTATTCAAACCATGTTCTCTGTGCAAGAATAAAGTTAGTTGGGAATAGCAGGAGCCCAAAGCAATCACAGAAAATCCACCTGGAACAAATGAAAAGTCCAGTCCAATCCTGGATACTCAGTGTTGTTTTACATCTCAGATTTCAGCCCCAGTGGCTTGGATATTCATTAGCTGTAGCAGAAAACTCGTATTTTCCCCTAAGAACATTTCTTATCTGTGTGGTAAGTAGACCTTACAGGGTGCCTTATTTTGACTCTTGGAGATTCTTTTGTTTAGTTTTGGAAGAGATTTTTAAAYCATAAATGAGGATGACAATGTGAAACTTCTATGTGATGTTTTGGAACTGAACTGTTAATTGGAACTTTTTACTTTTTCAGACAGGCTGGAGGGCCTGTTGATGTGGGCCCTGAGTTTCAGAAGGACATGAACGAATCACTCGCCAGACTCCAGCGGATGTATGGTGAGGGAGATCTAACCAAGTTTCCAGAATTCAAATTTGAGGGTGAGTAAGCAATCTTCCTTAGCTTCTAATTACAAGTAAGGASTGACATGTTCATTACCAAGTCTTCTAAGTTAATTCCAATTTAATTTTAATAAGGGCAATTAATCACAGACCCTGCAAAAACAACCCCCTGAGTCACTGTTCTTGCATTTTTTTTTTTTTGTTCCCCAGAAGAGGTCAGCAATTTGTCACTTCAAAAATTACTTGTCTACAAATTACAGTTTGCAAATTCTCTAAGTTCATTTGGAAAGGCAGTGATTACTGGATGAACACAAAATTTAACTTTCTCCTTATGATTACTTGTGATTAAATTATGTGAAAATGACTCTTTTGCAGCTAGCTGGAGGTCGTGTAACTGATTTAACTTTGTATTAGCATGTTTTGTATTACCTATTACCTATTTGATAGGTAATTACCTATTGTATTACCTATTACCTATTTGATTGTATTACCTATTACCTGTTTGATAATGACGTGTTTGTTCTGATATGTTTTTCTACACTGTGAAGGGACTGAACCAAATCCATCCGGCTTAGAAGGCAAAGTTGTCTCTTTAAAGGCAGGGTCATGTCTTTAGTTCTTCAGCTTCCCTTAGAGCTGTGGCTTTGCTGGCCATAAGTGATACCAGCATTGGAATTACAGAGTATGATTAATCTAGACAGTTTTGTGACTGAGTGAATGGACTTGTACGCTACAGCAGCAGCTCATTTCAGCTCCCCAACTTAATTCTTCCTTTCCTTTCAATAGCATATGAATACCCCCATTTTGAGGCTGGAATAAGAATAAACTAACGTGGCTTTTCTTCTCCTTCTCTGTCTTACCCATAGAGCCCAACTTTGAAGAGACACCTAAGTGATTGCTGCAGGTTGTGAAAGAGCAGCTTCAGTGGAGGTGCTGAATATGACAGTGGTTGTAAGTTAATAAACGTGCTTCAGGTTGATTTCTGAAGTGTGAATAAGCGCTCAAGTGTATGGTGATTTTGTTATCTATCATAGCCACCCTGATTTAGTAACTGAGATAATTCACTGAGGAGCTCTTTTACCAAGTTACACAAGTTTGACATGGATAATGAAGCACAGATTTGAAGTTACTTATTTTCTTCATTGTTACATTCAAATTATTTCTACAGAATAAACTTAAACTCTGCATCTGAGACATAGGTTTGTGGAAGTTACAGACCTGCACAGCCAAGCATTTAAGTACAAACATAGTCATTTTACACTTAGAGAAGCAACTGAAGTCTGAAGTTTGTGGGATTTACACTTCACTAACTGAACTTTTACACTACCCTTTCAGACTTTCAGGAACTATTTACTTGTAACATTACAGCAGTTAAGGTCCAGATAAAACAGCTCAATTTTGCTGGCATTTTATTTGTGTACTTCATTACAGATGCAGGCTGTAGAAACACAGCTGCTATAGGCATTTCACTTTAGACAATACTACAATACAGGAGCCTCAATTGGAGGAAGCTTTGTTCTGTCAGAATAGCAAGTTAAAAGCTGCTTAAGTACTTAGGAAGTATAAGGACGGTCTTTGATACATTTAATGCAACACTTACAGCTTGGGCCATTAAAAATTAATCCAATATTGTTAAGTAGGTAGAGGAACAAAGAGGTCTTCACACAAATTGACTTTTATAGTCTGTTTATTTCTAACTTAAAGAATGCAACTAATGCACAATGGGTTAACTAAACATAGCAGTTTCTATTTTCAGTGTGCAGTACATGGAACTATTTACAAAATGGAAGTCAAAAGATCCCTTTTATATTTTGTATAACAAGTAGTCATTTGCTGTCCCTCACAGAGGCCAAAGTCTTCTAAATAACAAAGGATTTGGTATGCTTGAAATCCTAAATAAAGTAAGAAAGGTGACATATGTAGTATTTCCAAGACTGTAAGCAGATTAACATTCATTGTACATTTCAGAGTAAACTAAGCCATACACGTTAAAGAGAGGAAGTTTGCCTGAAGCAGTGTCTGGGTCAGTTAATATATTTTCCTTTCTAGAAAGGGAAGTTTGCAGAATTCACTCTTACAGATAATAGAAGTAGGACTCTATTAAAACAAAGAAAAAACTTGCACACAACACTCAACAGAAAGCTGTTTAATGCTTGCTGTTTAATGCAACGTCAGTTGTTTGAAGGGAAATGTTCACTAAGCTCACAATTTAAAGAGCTTCAATTAAGATGAGTAAAAAGACAATTCAGAGCTACTAGCCAGTGTTGATAATTTTCTTCTATGCAGACTAGGTGAGGAGGTAAGCTTATGCTATATATGTTCAGTTTTCTAATTAAAGAGTGGGTTGGCTTTCAGAGAGCATTTAAGATAATCACTGTGGCCTTAAACCATACAAGTTCGAATTAAGTTGCKCCTAGCTGAAGCCTTATTTGGAGCTCCACTCTTACTGCACCATTTTGAAAAGCAGGAGCAGCATAGACCTACATGAATCCCTTAAGCTCTCTTAGCCAGGAAGGGGGAAAAGTTAGACCTCTGTATTCTCTTTGGTTGGCCTGGTGGGATGATGGAAGACATCAAAAGGACAGGGAGATACAAGAGGAGGAGGTCTAGGATGAGCAGGCAGAGCATGTGGTCAGGGTGGTGAAGGCAAGTCTCAAATTGTCAAGTGTATCACAAGATGTTATGGTTGTGGGTACTTAAGGAGACAAACATAACAAGTCATAAATAGATAGGGTATTTTGAGTACTGGTGGCATTCAAACTTGGGGGTGGGTAAACATGTCTATAATGTTTTTGTAAAGCAGTTTTGAACAAACTAAAGCTTCTGAAACACTACTGAATACAAGATACTTGCCTTTTCACTTGTAGATTGGTAGTTGGACTTCTTTCTGTTGATAGAACAGAATAGAAAGATATGTTAAATAGTGACTTTCTGGTTTTAGTTTTAGCCTCTTCAGTTTATAAAGATATTTGTCTTGATTTAAAATTATAACAACTCCACTGAAAGCTTTTTATGTAACTGTCACTGTCTCATGAACTGCTGCCAAGTTACCTTCCCTAACTTGTCGTTTCAAGGCTTGCAGTTACGCTGTCTAGTTCACAGCTTCTAAAATATTCTTTCTTATAAAGTACCTGTTTTCAGCTGCAGTTACCTGTAAGTGATAGCATAAAACCCTCTCTTAAAAACCCTCCTCCCAGCCTCTCRCACCAAAAGCAAGGCCAGCATTGAACACCACTTACAAGTTTAACCTTGTGAGAGAATACTTGAAYTGATTGAAGAATTCTTAGTAGAAAGTCAGAGAAATCTAGTGAGAAGAGCTTTACATAAATGCATCTCAAAGGAGCAGTCTAGCTGACCTTAAACTCCTTCCTGATCTTTTTTTAAGTAGTTTCTGAAATCATCTGAAGATACAGGCATGAGTTCAGTTTGGCCCTCAACGTCTCCTGTCCTCAACTGTCCAACAAGGTTATTAGTCCACATTTGACAATAATGATGTTTATATAGTCATGTTTAATTCATTCTCTGACCAGCACACTGATTCTAATGAAGAACCTTGAACCTACACAGTGACCATTTCAGTGTGAAGCCTGTATAAGAACCATGTAAGAAAGACTTTAATGAAGAATCACAGTTACTAAATCAGAAATGTAACTGAAGTTTACAGTGGCTGGCAGAACACATATAAATATGAGGATACTTACTGGGAGGAGCTTTCCCCTGAAAAAGGARAAAAAAAAAAAAAAGAAAAAGGTTATCACAAGAACAGGTTCCTTGCCTGATTTAACACTTTTTGAAGTATTTGCTCACAGCATCTTCAGCTCTTTAGTTTCTAGAAACAGTTGCTAAATCAAGTTTGTCTGTGACAGTGGGTTTATCAGAAAAACAGTCTAGGTTGCTTTCAAAAATGATTTAACTTACTGAGGGCACGTGAGCTTTAACAACACCTCTTGGCCAGTCCCTCTCCAGCAATACTCTTGGACAGAGACATGCGGGCATCCTCCTCCTTTCTTGTGCTGAACCCTATAGGTGCTAGTGTAAATGCTGCGGTCATGTTGCTCTGTCAGCCACCTCCTATGGTGCTTCTTAAACGCAGGTTTTCTCCGCTTGTACTTTCACCGCAAACCAGAAGAGGGAGCCAGTAAGTTCACCTCACAGCACCTGTTAAAAGGTCACTGGTACTGTACAGTTTGAACAGCTATAGGTTGCTTTTATGGTGCCTTTCTTTGCAACCCCCTCAGACTAGCAGAGAGGGCCTAGGAGCCAGGTTCTGCTCAGTGCTCTGCAGAAACTAATGTCYGGTACCCTGAAACAACTGAATAACTGCACAAACATCACCACTCTTAATGCCTCTTCTGCATAGAAGTGGAAAAATAAAAATGTCTGCAGAATAAAGATAAAGCTGCAGTACTCTATATAGCTTTGGTACCATGGATTTAGGGCCTTCATGAAAAGAAAAACATGTTAAAGTCAACAGAAATGCAACCATTTTCTCTAGACAAAGATTAACTTTACTTACTTCCAAAGTAACCCTTTTTCTGGGCATAAAATACTCCAAGGCCACACAACGCCATAACCAGAGCCACAAATACCACAGCAGCAATTATACCGCTTACATTAAGGTCATCTGTAATTATACAAAGAAAATCCAACTTTATAGACTGTAAAAGTTCCACTAGCTTTTCCACTAGATTTTCCCCATAATTGCTACAGGCACTAGTTGTATTAATAGGAGGACTTTTGCCCAAGCTGTGGACAGTCAGATGTTGATGATCAATCTTAAAGTGCTTCTGCCATCACATTAAGCTCCTCATTCCACGTCAAAAGCAGAGAAAGAATAAAAGATGTTCAGAGGTGCATACGTCTTGTTTTATTTTTCCCAAAGAAGTAATACTCAAGAGACATGCCTTTAAGAGCCAATATCTTGAATTCTTTAAAAATTAAAGTCTATTACAAGAGGCATTTTCATGTCAGGGTAAATTAACTTAAATAACAGAAAGAGCTGATGATAATGTTAGGACATAATCCTGAAGAACTCTTCACACTGATAAAGTATGTAAAATTGACTGCTTTTTGTTTTTTTAAAAATAAGGCTTTTACAATACAACACACTAAGGTTACAAAATATTTTAGTCCAGGTATCTGAAGTTAAATTCYGTTCTCCATTTTTGTTTTAAAAGGTGGTGACTCATGCCCATTTCCTGATATAATGCGCAAGGCCTTCAGGCAGTCATCCATTTTTAGAAAAACATCTATAAGCAGAAATATTTCCCTAAGTTTTGTTATCTGATCAATTACTTACTTGAATCATAACTCCAAGCATACATTACCATATGGTTGGGGCTTTTGCCTCAAAGCTTATCAGTTTGTGTGCCCTGGCTGACGGCAGCTTAGGACTGCACGAGTATTCCTACAGTAGAGGATTTCTAGTGTGACCGCTTGCTTATATAAGCAATGCCAAGACATCAGGCAGGAGGACATTAAAAGCCTTGAGAGGGAGATTTTCAGCTACATTCTAAGAAAGTGCTAGATAACTGTTTTATGGAATACGTTGGCAGCAACATGTTTACAGTATCAAGCTAGGATTGGTTAGGATCTTAAAAAGCTTCAAGTATTTTTATTATACCATTCTCCCCCCCCTAAAAAAAAAAAATATATGTATGTATGGACTAGAGCTAATTTTTATTTTGCAGAAAACTCATACATTTTGGGTTACTAAAGATTCTGCGCTTCCAGCCTCTTCTAAGTTCTTAATTAAGTAACATATATTACACTTTATCTACTTTGTATAAATAGAAGAAAGAGGCAGCTGGGTTTCTGGGTGTTTTAAAGATGCACCAATCTTTTCAGCTTTCCTCTGAAAAGTATGAATCATTATTTTCAATTAAAGCTAGAAAAGTGCTTCTGATCTGCAATACTAAAGTCTCTAAGGAACTGATCTCTAAAGGAAGACTATTCAGAAAAAAAGAAAAAAAACAGTGCCAGTCCTACTACAGTAGAC